CCCATCGTGGCAATTGAGTTAACTGAAAACCAATGTCAGAGTGTGAGCTGATGTGAGTGAGTTGGTGTCAGTGAGTTGGCGTCTCATGGGACTGCCATGCTTTGATTGGCTGCGCATTCGAGATTCGAAAGTTGGGAACAAAACTCCTACTTGTAGTTGGTGAGTTGGTGGGAGTGAGCGGAAGTGGTCGGAGGAGGAGCAGGTCGGGAAGACGGGAGAAGCGAGCTTCAATTTGTTGATGTAGCCTTACTGAAGTTTTATTGGAGAGAACGATTCCCTTGTCCTTGATGATCTCCAAGGCAGGGATGAGTGTCGACTGCGTTTTGATGATTCTGTTGTATACCAACTTTTCTGTGGCCCGCGATTCGGTTTAGGGTTTCTTGTTGGAAACTTGTTTTCTGAGGCCCAGGATTCGGTGTAGGGTTTCTTTTTTGGAGAGGTCCTGTTGAGGGAGTTCCCTTGGATGTTGTTTGAGGTCTGTGGAGACCCACCCCAAGAACCACGTTGAGGTCCGGGTCCTGCCATCCTGTGCTCCCCTTCAGTTGAAGCCGAACTGTGCTCGTGTTTGAGCTGTACTGGCAGTTGCTTGTACTTGTGCATGACTCCTGTTTATTTTGCGCCGCCCACCTCCCTAATTATGGGGGGCGTTTGTCCCCAGCACAGATGGTTGATTCATCCCTAGCAGTTGTTCTTGAGCTGATCGATGAAATCGATCTGCTATCTTCTGCCCTGTACCTGTCAGCCTGTCAGCCTCCGACTGGGAAAAAGATATGTGCGATGAGCCTGCGAGGGCTGAGCTGGGATGTTGGTCTTGAAACCGACGGTTGATGTTCAATTTTTTCTGTTGGACTTGTGGCGCAGGCGCTCGGCAAGATAAAACCTTCAATAAAAGGCAAGAACCCCACACTATCACCAGCATGTGGGGATCTGTACTGTAGTCCTCATGTGATATACGTCTGTTTAACTTTACAGTGCACTGTGGACTGCAAAAGTGTCTCTGCCATTGATGTGCAGTTGAAGCCAACAAATGCACGTCTCAAGGCCGGCCTTCGTGCCCGGTGAGGTGCGCCGAGCTCACAGTTTGCATCCTGTTACTGGGTGGTGGGGTGCGAGTGTAGAGGCTTTTTTAGGGGGCAAAGTGCGAAGCAAATCAGGCATGTTGAGCGCTGAGTGATCTGAGAGTTGGTTCCTGAAGTGGGCAGCAGAAACCCCTTCAGATTGCATGAGTGGATCGTACAGACCGCGATTTGATTGGCACTTTTGAAAGCGCGCATGCAATTCGAAGCCAATGACGGGAATCGGCGGAGCTCGGCATGAAGAAAATACTTTGAACTTTGAATAGCGGGTGAAACTGGTATGCTCAATGATTCAGCATGCATGTTTGATGCCATTTTCCGGGAAGCTGACCAGAGTGCGGGATTTCTGGAGCAGATCCTGGATGCCTTGCCAGCCCCCGTGTCACAAAACTTAGTGCACAATGACATGATTTGAGTAGGAGGCAGGCCCATTCAATGCTTGCGAGGTTTGCTGCTTTCACCCTCTGAGTTTTTTGTTGTCTCAGACCTCAAGTCTGAGCATCAGGCACAGCAACCAGAGTGAAACTGGAGTCTTTGGTACTTGTGTGGGACCAATGTCCGAAGCACACCAAACTTGTTCAAGAAGTGATCTATGTCACTTGGGTGTGTAAACTGCTGTGGCCTGACTGCTGGCAGATGGATGCCCCGCTGGTTTTCTGCTGGATAAAAGGTTCAATGAACATGATTGCCACCTGACCGTCCTGACCTTTTTTTGCTGATTCATCCGCTGTGTTCATGACGTCAAAATGATGTAATCCTACGTTTTGGCCTAAAGAAGCCATAGCTGGTTCGAACAATTTCTTCAAACCGCACATTCCTTCTCCATGCATATTCCCAAAGTAAATGAGATCTTCGCCAAAACCTGCACCTGAACGCATTTGAGATGTTCAGCCTGGCCTGATGCTGCTTGCCCTCAGTGGCCAGGAATGTAGTTTGGGACGTCCAAATGACTCTCTTGCTCGAATCTTGCTTTGCTGTGTTTAGCGCAGGATCCTGCTGGTTTCTGCACTAGGGCAGTGGGGAGCTGAGAAATATCCAAGTCGCAGGCATGTGGAACGAAATAAGAAGGGACCGAAAGTTCCCTAAAAATCTAGGAACAACTCATTAGTGCGTGAGCTATCCTGCGTCCATACTAGTGGCGTACTAGTAGCTAGTAGCTTCCTAGTCTATACTAGCTACCCTACCTCTTCTACCCCGCCGGGCAACAAAAAAGTGTATCAAGCCTTTTGCCAACTTTTGGTCTTTATTATTTGTGCGCTTCGACTTCAGCTTTGATCTGTGCTGAGACTTGCTAAGGACTTGCTACAGAGACTGGGAGGCTGCGATTTCAAGGTGTCAAGTCCGGAACTAAGTCACTCCTAACATCCCATGGGAGAGAAGAACGGAGGACATCCAATGTTTACTCAGGTCCTCCAGTGCTATGGGTAACACCTTCTGGCATCAAGGGTCAGCAATGTCGCACCGTCCCTGCCCATCGCATGCAATACAGCAATTGCAGTAGTGTCATGATACAGCAGTTAAGCAGTTATATACTTGCAATATTGATTGAAGCCAAGGATTTAGAACTGCCGCTGTGGCTTCAACCTTAGCATCAAAGCTCGAGGCCTTTGAAAGAAGACCCAAACTGCAAAGGAAAGCAGTAATTCTACTGCATCAGCATTCAACAAGAACATGTCACCACATGTCACCAAAAGTAGCGTTATCCACTTGGGCTCTCTATGCTCTAGCATAATACAGCAGGGCAGGAGATGTCCCAGAAAGAAGATTGGAATCCAAAGCTTGGTAAAGTGAAAGCTACCGTGGCAGTAAAGCAGATGTGGGCATGACTGGCGGTATCGGCTCCGGCTGCAACCACTGTACCACTGTTGCTGCAACTCAAGTTTGCTGCTCATCAGCTGGCCTGCTGTGTCATTTTGGCTTTGTGGGTTTTGATGACCCAGTAGTGGGGTGTGGCCTAGTCAAGTCGAAGAAAGGCTGCAGAGACTTAGTGGTGAATCCTATTAGTTATGTACCCTGGGAACCTTGTCTCCGGGTCCCCTTTTTCCTTTCCTTTATTTGTATAGAATTATATATACACAGTGTATAATATGTTTAAGACATTTGATTACTTAATGTTCTGTGTTTGTTTCTTAGACAGACAGTCCAATCGCCTTTCTATGTTCCTGGCTCTTATGTCCCGACCTTTCTACCTGTGATGTGGTTCCTAAGCCCTGCCTTGCTTGGTGTTGCTTTCAGTTGACAATGTTCAGGTGTCTTTCCCCACAAGGCTGTAGTTACTTCTCTCAGGGTCATGAACAACTGCTGGCTCAAAATATCTAGGTTTGTTGTTTTGCATCATTGCGCCTCACATTCTCGTCACAGCACATGTTGAAACATGGTTCTCCCCTGCAGTGTTTATTCCGTGGATATGTTAAAGATGGTCAAAGCCTGATGTCTCTCAAGCCAAGTAACTAGCAGAAGTTCTGCCCAAAGCAGTAATATCAATATTTCTATTGAACACATGGCTCAGGTTGGAAAGCTTCCACATTTCAATTTCAACACATGGCTCTAGTTGCTGGATGTGAGGTGGGCGGGTGGCTGTTGGCACCCATTCAGCCAGGACAAGGCAGGAATAATACAATAGAGAAAACCGCAAAAAGTGTTGGCCTCCATACTGCAATGCTTTGTCTTTGAAGTATCATAGTTCCCGAGCAACTTAGTGTTTGAGTTGCTAAATGATTTTGCTTATCTAGTCGTAAAATGAAGCTTCTTCAGCTGCTGAGCATGGGAGAAGGAGAGTGGGAGAAGCTTCCTTAAAAATCCCGTCGTCTTGCTCCTAAGTCTTCACCGGCCCAATCATCCGTCCCATCCCTAATGTTAAGTTTCCAAAACATCTAGAAACCAAATCATTCCCGCGTCCATACTAGTAGCTTACTTGTAGCTACTAGCTACCTTGCTTCTACTGGCTACCTAGCTAACCTACCTCACCTACCTCCTAGCGGCCTACCCCTGGGCCAAAAAAACAACAATACTGTAAAGACATATAAATTAGTTACTAGAAGCTTCTTGTTACTACTAGTAAGGCACTTGTTCCTAGAAGCGATGCACTTGTTTCTACTAGCTACTAGCTTCTTTTCTTGTTGGTTTTCTTTCTTTCTTGGATTGCCTCAGGCCCCGACAGCATACACGCCTCGCAAATTTGAGCCACTGTGGCGCTGCGGTTCGGTGCTAGCCTTTCTTGGAAGAAAAGAAAAGCGCACTGTCCACAACCAATGCACCAAAGAAAATGAAAGGCAATGAAAGTGTGCAATGAAAGGCGTGAAAATAGCCGCGCACGCTTTGCGTGAGGTCCTGTCACATCCTGCGCCAAGTAGCATTGAGGCCACACATTGCATTGCCGAAGCCCTCGCAATTTGTCCGCAGTCATGGCACTAATATCCTTTGCCTTGGGTTCAGTTTTGCTCTCGATGGCACAGGCTGGGCCAGGCGAAGTTGCCGCCCATCCACAGGGCTGCAAGGTGATGCAGGTGTTGAGAGTACTTCTTTGCCTTTCTCCAAGCGTCGACAAACTGCAGTTTCTACTTTCTTCTTGCATTTCAATTTGGACTTTCGTGGTTGAAAAAATCACGGACTTTGATATGGCTTTGCGTCTGACTAGGCTCATCGTTCTTGTTTGGAGCTTCTGAGGCGAGTCACAGGGACGGTTGTGGAGCAGACCGGTGACTGGAGGAGAGTGGCGTTGTGAGCTCAGTTGCTGATCGTCAGATGCGAGAGTAACATCATGTTTATTCATTCAAGGTCAATGCCCCTATGATCTTCATCTTGATGCAACACAAATCAAGGTTGGCATATGGGCCATGGGAAGCTTTGCTGGTTTGCATTTGTAATTTTTGTAGCGGCAAGTTGGCTGCATATAATTTATATAATGTTTCCGACAAAACTTCAAGCACTACGGGCAACAGACAGTGTACAGTAATTATCATTCTTTCTTTGCTCACCGATGCTACCTCATTCCCTGACCTCTTACTATATCTCCTCACGGGAGAGCATGCATACCTTTGTTGTGTTCTTTTTTAATCATAGTTGTTTCTCTCTAGGTCTTGGAGCTTTCAGGTGGGCGAAGGCACAACATTTACATAGATTTCAAAGGTTGCAAAGACTCTTTGTCACAAATGTACAGTAAACGAGTGTGAATGTACGCCAGGTACCTCTTCCTCTTCCAAGACCTTTCAGGCCATGAACTCAAGACAACTTTTGATGGGCATCAGGGAAGGGTGGCACGGCTGAAAGCAAAGAATTCGCAAAAGCTTGGGCTGCAGATGTGCTTCAGGTGTTCCAGCAGGTCTTGAGACCGTGCTTATCTTTGATGTCGCTCGTAATGAGGCACGTTTGGCTAGAAGTTTCTTGAGGCACCACTGATACCGCCGCATTTGCTGTTAAAAGACGAGTAGCACTCCCGCCACTGCTTATTATATGAGTATTGGACGCTAACCTGCACTACTACGACGACTACAGCACCAGCACCAGCACCACCACCACCACCACCACCACCACCACCGCGACGGCAACAGCAACAGCGAATATTCCCCTGGCCAGCTTCTGCTCCCTATCCCTACTACAAAGACAGCCACTACCTTACCACCACCACCGCCACCGCCACCGCCACCGCAGCCACCCCCACTACCCCATGAGCACTACCACTACAGCTACTGCTGCTAGTACAGCTACTGCTGCTAGTGCAGCTACTGCTGCTTGTACTTCCGCAGCTGCTACTGCTACTTGGTACACTCTAAGACAGCTACAAAGACCACAAGCACTCCTATTGATGATGATGTTGATGATGATGATGAGGATGACGATGATGATGACGATGAGGATGATGATGATGATGCTGCTGCTGGTGGTGGTGGTGGTGGTTTTTGTGGTGATGTTGATGATGTTCGTCCTACTGCCATTTTTTACTTTAACAGGTTTCATAAACGGGCTTGCTTTCCAGAATTATTTGTGCCAGTGGCGCCCTCCGACACCTGCTCGCGCGACAGCCCCTGGTCATCAAGAAGAGGCACACTTCGAGTTGGGGAATTTGCAAATGTTTGCCGACCCATCAACCCGTTACTAACACAGTGCAGGTGAACTGGCAAAGACTGAGTGGACCAAGGAGTGCAGCTCCATTGAAGGTGAGAGCCTTAAGTTGGATGCCTGTGTGGCTTTCCTTGCAGCATTGATGGATGGCCATCCCGAGGCTTGGCTGCTTGAAGCAAGCATGGACTATGTCGTTCGCTGCCCAGCTACGCCTACTATCCCAACTGGAAAGCTCAGATTCGTCCGCTTTACACTCTCAGCTGAAGTCCGCTTCAGATACTCATGGCTCCGGCCTGGGGGTCTCAGCTGAAGACATCGAAGACAGATGACTAGTAGCGATGCCCTTGTTATTTGTAGCAATGCCCTTGCTCCTAGTAGTAATGCCAGGAGCTACTAGTGGCGTCCTTGCTACTAGTAGTAGCGCCCTTTGTTACTAGTAAGTAGCGATGTTCTCAATGTTCTTCTTTTTGGTGACCAGGTGATGCAGAATTTCACCTTGCTAAGGAGTTAAGTTCAAGCACCGTGGGAGCTCAAGCCTAGCCAAACTCTGGGAATGATGAGGATTTACTAAGGCACGATAACGACATGCAGCAATTGACCTTGGAGGAGTTGCATGCACTATGCACTGTGGGAATGTTACCACATTAGACTGCAGAGATCCAGCGAGCACGCTAGCAAGAAGCACAGCCAACCAGCAAGCACACTAGCAAATTTTAGCAAAAAGCTAAACGGGCTGGTGGGGCCGGTTGCTGCTTGCTTGTATTACGCATGTGGACTGCTTTTCATGTCTGCGACACACTGTACACGCATGTTTGCAGCCGATCTCCAATTATATAGTGTAAAGTGGACACTCACCTTGCACATAGCCTGAACACTACCGCCTAACACTAGGCTCGAGTTGCAGGAAACAAGCGCGTTTCGTCGATCGCGCGTCGTTTTGCATGGTAGCGGAGCCACCGGGGGGGCTCAGTAAAGATACCCCCGGCGCCGAGTGAAAGATCCAGGGACGCAAGGCGACCAAAAGAAAGGAAGAAGAAGAGAAAAGAAGAAAAGAAGAGAAAGAGGCTCAAGAAGCCATGGAAGCCTCGGCCATTGAAGCCCTGGTCACTGCATCAAGGCAAGAAAGGAGGGCGAAGGCTTCGCAACAGTCTCGAAGGTGGTGAAGGCACCGGGGCCTTTTAGCCCAGCAAACATGGAAGAGGAGCTCAGTCAGCGGCAAGACGGGAAGTTGAGCTTCAAGTCATGGCTATGTTTCGCAGAGCAGGCCTATGAGAAAGAGCTGGGGATGGTCGAAAGCTCAGAAGTTGCCATGCGTATGGCATCGATGACTGAAGATGAAAGGAAAAGGTCTGAAAAGCTCTATGCCATTTTGGTGAGCGTTCTCAAGAACAGGCCGTTGAAGCTTCTCAGAGCTGTAGAAGGGAAGAACGGCTTTGAAGCGTGGCGACAACTAGCCACCCAACTCACTCCCAAGACCAGAGCAAGAAGCATTGCTTTGTTGCAGGCCTACTTGAACCACCCAAACTTCAGCAAGGACAAGATGACGCTGCAAGAACAGTTGCTTGGCTTGGAGAGGCTGGCAGATGAGTATGCCACAGTGGCAAAGGAAGAGCTGAGCGAGAACACAAAGCTGTCAGTTCTCATGAAGGTGATGCCAGCAGCCCTTCGACAGCACCTTCAACTCCACATGACAGATGCAACAACATACAAAGAAGCAAGGGAGAAGGTGTTGAGCCATGAGAGGACGACCACGTCCTGGGGTTCGCAGGCCATATACAGAGAGCTGGCCATCACGAAAGACAACAAAGACGATGAGGCAGTTCCATTGAGATCGACAGGGTTGGCAAAGGTAAGGACAAAGGAAAGTCCAAAGGGAAACGAAAAGACCAGAAAGGGAAAGGAAAGCAGAAAGGTACAGGTCAAGGGTCCTATGGCGGCTTTGACAACATAGGCAAGGGCAAGCTGCAGAAAGGAAAAGATGGAAAGGGAAAGGATGGAAAAGGAAAGGGGAAAGGCATTTCTCCTGACACGTGCAAACTGTGCGGTGGTAGGGGTCATTCGAGTCGTGAATGTCCAATGAAGACACTGAGACAACAAGCCCTGCCTTAATCAGGCACTTCCTGGAACCATTGGGCTGCACCTTCTCTCTGCCCTGGGAGAATTCGCCCCAGCACCACTCTTGTGGAAGGTTCAACCTCTCTGCCAATGCCGTCCAGTGCCACTTTCACCTTCTTTGGCTGACTGCACATCAAGCAGGCGTCTTTCACATCCATCGCGATCATCTTCCAGCCTTTGACTTGGCAGATCGCTGGCGCCAACCTCAACAAAGAATGGCCTCCAGCTGGCGCGAGAACATCTGTCCTGTTTGGATCACACCATGCGAAATCTCGCGCCACTAAACGAGCACGCCTCTTCCAACGTTGTTCACGCCGCCTCCAATCCATCACAAGCTTTGTTGTCAACAACGGCGCTTCCTCCATGTTCTCTCCTTCTTCTGGCCTCTTCAGCACCTCCACGCCAATCAACCTCTGAACCTCCTCAACTGTGGCTTCTCACGCGGTTGGTCTGGAAGCTCAATGCTTTCATCTCCGTCTTCAAGCAACTCGCCTCCAACGATCATCCTTACCTGTCTCCTTCTCTGCCTTCTTCCTCATCACCAGGTTCTCGTCGAGGCTGTTTGCGGGGCACAGCCTTAGGCATCTTCTTTGGCGCTTCCTCCTCAACTTCCTCACCGCTGCTTGCTCGCTTCGGACTTGATTCAGGCGCTCTTCTTGGACTTGAAGCTGGTGCGTCCTTCTCGCTCTCTGGAGTCGGTGTCTTCAGACTGTCAAGCAAATCTTGCAGCGTTGTGTCATCATTGATCTCAAGGCTTTCTTCCTCTTCACACAGTCACACAGATTTGATG